GAGAGGGAGAGGGGAAAGGAGGCAGGGACAGAGACAGAGACAGAGAGAGATAGAGGGAGACAGAGAGATCCTAGACTCTGATGTACACATGGTTTCTACTGGGTACTGGAGCCTAGCCTGGTTCTCATCTCACAGACAACCATGGGTCACTAAGAATCTACGTTTTGACACCCACAACCTACGTTAGTAGATTTTGGAGTTGGAAGTGTTAGGGAAATGGTTATTTCAGCCTGGAGTCTGTTTTTCTGCCTCACACTCATCAAGTTACACGCTTTTTTGGCTAGTTATTATTTGTAAGAGCTAGCACGACTGTGGGGAGAGAGGATGGTTGGTGGAGGGACCGTAACGCTCAGTTCTGTGCTTACGGCTGGCTGCAGCTTCCAGGAATCCCAGGTTGTCCTTGGACCCTTTAAAACTGTTCTCCACTCACAGTCCTGAGAGAAGGCCTGGAATACACACATAGCTGTTATTCTCACTGGTCTGCTGGGGATGGGTTAGTTTTGGCACAGTGAGGCTGACCTCGGGCACCAAGTGGAGAAACTGGGACTTTTTGTTCTCAGGACCTTGATTGCATCCCTGATGAGGTTTTCCTTCTGGGTCTGCTGGCACTGTCCCTTTCATCCAGTTTTTGCCTAGTCATAGGGTACGGTCTCTTCTGTCCTGCACCGATCTGTTGGATTCCTTTGTCCTGTGGGAAGTTCGGGTTGTGTGCTACAAGGAGCTTAGCTGTGAACCAGGGACATGTCTACACATACAGGCAGAGATTGATGGGCCCCTGCAGGAGGCCAGGAGGCATGAGCCCAGGGTCCTCACAGAGTGGCACCCACAGAGCTACTCTGAACTGGGCCCTGTCCCACTGACGAGTTTTGCAAAAAGAAGGAAGTTGATTAAGCATTCTGGACCTCAGGTTTCCTTCTGGCAAGCAGACATGGTCAGACTGATTTTGCAGGACTCCTGAGCGGGGCCCATGCCTGTATTTTGATCTCTAGTGTGTACAGAGCGTCTTGCAGAGGGTCTGGCTCCCACCTCCGGCCCCAGCCCTTCTGTTAGTCAACATGCCCTTCCCCTCCCTCTCACTATTGACTCTCCCATGCTTTGTCTAAGCAGTTTTTACCAAGATACAGTACGCTGTCTCTGTGACGCCTCAATGGGGATTTAGGCATGGACTAGACAACGATTTACAGCCACCATCACCTTGCTGCCTTCCGCTGACCATTCACACCAGACCTGAGAGCTGTTCATGACAACTGAGATAACATGTTAAGTGTTAGGCTGGTATTGTAACTTTGCACAGCCAGTTTCTGAAAAACAGTCCATGAAAAAAATTACCATTTTGTGCATTTAGTATGCATTTAGTATGTATTATTACCTCACTCAGGTCTTAATCTTTGAAATCCCTATTCCGCTGTATGTGTCAGATACAAGTTGATTGTAACATTAACGTTGCATCTATGGAAAACATGTTTCTCCAATATTGAAATCATTTGTTTAGATGTATACATCTTTTTTTTTCTGTCTCCTGATGATATTAACTTGGAATCTTCCCTGCCCCCGTGTAGAGGCGAGGTCTTATATCCCAGGCTGGGCTAAAAGTTACTGTACATATCGCTGAAAGATGACCTTGAACATCTTCCAGCCTCTTCCATCTCCTGAGTGCTGAGATCACGGTAGGTGCCATGCTGTTGGTCTGTGATTTGCTTGAGACTGAACCCAGGCTTCTGGGCAAGCTGGGCAAGCCTTTCACCGCTTGGGCCCCTTCTTCAGGACCACAGTTTCCTTCTGCACTTTATTTTCTTGTTGGAGCTATGCTCTATTAATTTTGCTAATGCTTTGTGTTATGATTGCTGGGTTCTTGTACACAATGAAGAACATTTTAGTATTTTTTTCTTCTTTGTGCAATTTTGTTTGTTTACCACATTTTCTATAGTTTTATTTCACAGTAAACTTGGCTGCTTTTTGGCCTCTTTGAAACCTTAGTGCATTTAAACTCAAGTTTTGTTTCTTTCTCTTTTATCTTCATCTGTTTCCTCTGTTCCCTCTGTCCCAACAGTCCTCCCTCCCTGCCTGCCTCCCTGCCTCCCTCCCTCCCTGCCTCCCTCCCTCCCTGCCTCCCTCCCTCCCTGCCTGCCTGCCTCCCTTCCTTCCTATCTTTTTGATGGATCTGGGCTTATACCCAAGGCCTCATCCATGCCACACAGTTGCTTCCCTGAAGCTACATCTAACTCTGTGAAAATCCACTGGGTAGGGACAAGGTGTGAAGATGGTTTTGCTTTCCTAGGGTTTTAATCCATCATCATCTCAGATTGTCTGTTCTCTGCTCGGTGGTGACAGGCAGCACAAATTCCCTCATTCTGGATTTATATCCCCAACCCTTTACTCAGTTCTTACTACCACAGGGATGTGCGACATTCTGTGTCTCACCTCTGAGCTGCCATGTTTGTGACATGGTGACATTCATTTTATTATTGCCTACAGAAATGAGAAAATATTATGCATCTTCGCTTTTTCCTGAGTTTATCCAGAGAGCTTCAATGAGGCAGAGAAAACATCCTTTGTTTGTTGGTACTCATTTCTCCCGTAGTCTATAATAAATTCTGAAGCCAATATCTGTAGAATTCTGTGAATTTGCATTGACAAGGTTAGATTGTCACCCATTAGACTGGAAGGAATTATGGATTCCATTTCAGATGTCAAATTCCCTCCAATATGTTTACACTGTTCATGCACAGTGTCCTTTTGAGTTGCCAGAACTGGCTGTGCTGTGAACTTGTGACTGAGCACAGAGACAGCCAGAGGATCAGTGATGAACACTGGGATCACATTCTCCAGGACAGCACAGTCCTGTCTTCAGTACCTGTCCTTGTCCCCAGTCCCCACTGCTCCCTGTTGCCTTTCAGAGACCTCCCTCATTCAAAGGGACGGTGATCTCAGACTCTGGGGACCCTGCATTGAGGACTTGTTCCAGCCCTTTCCCTGTCTGCACAGCTGGTCTCTCCTCTGAAGGGCTCCAGGACTCTCCCTCCCTTCCAGTTCCTCTGAGTTCTCGTGCTGGCCAGCAAGGGATTCTTCTCCTGCTATCCGCACCCCCTTCTCCAGTCACTTAGTGTATGGAAATAAGCTGATGTGCCTGATACTTACAAAACACATCTCTACAATTCCCACTGAACATGTGGTCTTCACAGTTCACCCCAAGGACCTTCTTATCCATGGGGCCTCTGTACTGGAGCTCAATTTTAATAACGGAGGAAACAAACTGGATGGACACTACGGTCCAACTTAATGCCTTTTAAACTTATTGTTCTAGTTGATCTTAGCACTTGAAACTCAGTATCTTTTCAGATAACCCAGGAAGTTCAGTTTTCTAAGCGAGATTTGTATGATAACCTTCAGAATAGCAAATGATTAAATATGTAATACATCGGAGCTCATGGAACCAGGCAGTTATGTGCGTGTGTGAATAGTATTGTCTTTCTCCGAGCAACAGTATTGTCTTAACACTGGTCATTGTTCTTAAGGCCTCAGGTGTTTTCTGGACACTCTAGGAATCTGAAGTGGGCGGGTGAACACATGCAAATGTTAAAGTAGAATTTGCCAGAGGCACAGTCAGCTACAGTGACACTGGCTCTGAGCTTGCATCCTCACTGAGACCTGCAAAGCACGTGGCTTCTCTAGTTTCAGAATGGAGACAGCCCCTGTCGTCCCCTGCACCCTCACCACACACCTTACCCCCAAGGACAAACCTTGATTGACATGTTGGCTTCATATCCTGTACACCTAGTAAAGGGTGACCTAATACCAAAATGGGCTTTCTGCAGAGCAACAGCCTTGCCCTTTGACTAGCAAACCCATTTTAGTCTCCAGTTCTGTCACTTGTTTTTCATTAGCTCTGATACGTTCCTGTAAACAAGGTGATGTCATCCTCTGGCCAGTTAAGCACAAGCCTCTTGGTTTTAACAGAGTCTCTTGCCTTCAAGGAAGAAAGCAGAGAGGCGGGACCCTGTTGCAGGTGGGACATTGTATGAAGGTTACCCCAGGACCCATACCTCAGGGTAACTTGAAAGATCATTTGAGTCTCCCAGTCATATCCAGACACACATGTGTCAGGAGCCCAGCTGTCAAGGTCCAGAATCTAGGGATCTGGATAGCCGAGGGACTGGCCTTGTGCTCTGTGTGTCCTGTGCAGAGTGTTCGAGGACCCTGGGTGGACAGCAGCCTGTTTCCCTTGAGAGCAAGGCTCTTGGAACACGTGCTCGCCCACTCTGTTGCACACCCCAGCTGTGAGCTCTTTGCTGCCTTGCATTGTCCTGGTTTGTCTGCTGACTTCTGTCCCTGGCTGTGGCTTCCCTCAGATTTCTGTCTGTCTGTGTCTGCTTCTTGAACATGCCAAAAACACTTATTAATTTTCTATGATTGATGACTAGAAGGACTGGGTTCTCAAATCTCCTAAAGAGAAATACAGAGACCATTTCCTCTTCTGTTTTTCCCTGCACTGGGGTTGTTTCCATGACACTGATGGTTCCTGTAACTGGAGTTGACATGCATAATAGTCTGGTAGCTCTCAGACTGTCAGAGTCCTTTCTTTAAGGATAGGTACTAGATTACGGTTTCAAGGTAGGCGTGCATCTTTTTGTGCTTAAGCTGAGAGTTGAGCTTCCCTGAATGACATATTCCCACAGTCTGAGATAGAAAACCGAGCTCTGTAAAGTAAAGGAAGAAGGGACAACATCCCTGCTCTTTAGTTATCTGGCCAGACTCCAGGGACAGTGCCAGTTTCCAGAGCATTCAGTAAGTGACGACGGCGGCATTTGTTAAGAGCCTTTGGAACAGGTAAACCGAGTTTGCCTTCAGGGTGCACAGAAACGAATCTCGGGGCAGAGGCTGCAGGGGATTTTATTTAATCCCTCCTTTCTCAGAGAGGGTGTGGCCTTCTGGGTGAGGATCTATAGCTCTGGTTACAGAAGGGAAGAAAGGGGAGTGCCTAACCGGGATTGGTGCAGAATAGGGAGGGACTCTTAGTCCCGCCTACATCTTTCGGGGAGACGGCATAAAGTTACAGCTTGCCATAAGATCCAGGTCAACCCTGCTGAAGCCAGTCCGAAAATTCCAGCACCAGCACCAGCACTATGCCTATGATACTGGGATACTGGGACGTTCGCGGTGTAAGTGAGGAGACTGGGATGTGAGGCGGAAGTTCTTAACAGCAGGGCCTTTCTAGGAGAGGGCTACTCATCAGCACCGCCCACCCCCTCCTGCCATCTTCTGCCTGTTGCTACCAGCGCTCAGGAGCTTACACACATGGGAGGCTGTGTGTGCCTGTGTGTGTGTGTGTGGGGGGGGAGTTCACGTGCGCATGGGTATGCACACTGCATAGTGGCTGTATTTGTGCAGTGTGGGGTCTCAGCTGGAGAAGATGAAGTCATCCAGTAAGGTCCCTACAACCTCTCACCTCTGTCTCTGGTCTTCTCTTCCAGCTGACACTCCCCATCCGCATGCTCCTGGAATACACAGACTCAAGCTATGAGGAGAAGAGATACCCCATGGGGGACGGTAATGACACCTTCCTGATCAGTCACCTGCTTCCCTGTGCTCAGTGATGCCCATCAATCCATGCCTAGCCCCGCCTTCCTCAGATCTGCGGAACTCCTACAGTTGGAGCTAGAGCCTGCTGCTTCCAGAAACCTCTTTGAGGGTGTGGTTTGGTTTTTCAATATAGAACACCGAGAATGGAGTTCCTGATCCATCTGTATTTATAATGAGACTGGGTGCACTATTAGGGTCCTATTGGGTCCAGGCTCCTCTTATTTTATTTATTTATTTTTGGTTTTACGAGACAGGGTTTCTCTGTATTGTTTTGGAGGCTGTTGGGCCACAGGCTCCTCTTATTACCAGTTGATGTTTCTATCCCTCTTCTCCATCTTGAAAAATGACTCTGTAAGAGGTTGCAGACCCCCTCCCCCCACATACCTCAGGAGTTCTTACTCCTGGTCAAATACAGGAGAAGGGTGGGACACTGGACTGATTTCTTTTCACATTATCTTGTCTACAGCTCCTGACTTTGACCGAAGCCAGTGGCTGAGTGATAAATTCAAGCTGGGCCTGGACTTTCCCAATGTAGGTGCAGGGAAGGGGAGGTGTGGGGAGGGCGTGGCGTCCTCACCTCATCTCCTCACCTGGCTGAGGGCTTTGGGATCAGAGCTTCAGCTCTCCTGCTCCCATCCTGGAGGCTGCACAGTGTTTCTGTGATGGGCTGTGTCCCAGATCTTCATGTCATCTGTCCAGCTCTTCCATTCAGTGTGTGCGGTGTTCATTAGGGTGTCCCATGCCAGGCACACCAAGTACCAGGCCCCCTGTCTGTCCTCACCCAGAGAAGGGGTGTTGGGACTCTGTATCCCATCTGACCATCCCTGCTTATCCTTTCAGCTGCCCTACTTAATTGATGGGTCACACAAGATCACCCAGAGCAACGCCATCCTGCGCTACATCGCCCGGAAGCACAACCTGTGTGAGTGGGGCTGGCTGCAGGGTGGGGCATGGGAGACATCCTCCTTGTCTTGGCTGGGATGGGATCCTGAGGGTGAGTGTGCTGTGTGCGCTGCAGGTGGAGAGACAGAGGAGGAGAGGATTCGCATGGACACTCTGGAGAACCAGGTTATGGACACCCGCATGCAGCTCGTCATACTCTCTTACAACCCTGACTTTGTGAGTTGCCAGTGGGGGAGCAAACAGTGATTGCAGCAGGACTTAGTCTTGCATCAAATCTACAGCATCTTCCTTCTGTAAATGAGCTGTGTTACCGAGTCTCTGAGCTCTCCTATCTTACCAGCAGGACCCTCATAACCCAGCAGGCTAGCTCATCAACAGTGGGAAACCATCAAGACTAGAGTCACCATACAAGATATGGTTGAGATTCTGCTGGTGACAGCTGATCTAAGTGCTTCAGCATAGTCGTAAATCCCTGCCATATCTGTCCTCTGACACCTTCCATGTATCATCTAACTTGGTATTCACACCAAAAGATGATGGGATGAAATTAGAGAATGTGTGGATGACCTGGTGGGTAAAGGTGTTTGCTGTGTAGCATCAGGGCTTTAGTGTAGATCCTTAGCACTGCATAAAAAACATACTCATGATAAAATCATAATAATAGTGCTCTCGGGCAGAAACAGGAGTAATCCTGGGGATTTGCTGGCTAATGAGTCCAGTCTGTCTGTGACCTCTAGGTTCAATGCTAGACCCTGTCAAAAAAAAATAAGGGGGAGAGTGACTAAGAAATTCACTTGACATCAACATTGGGCCCCCTTGTACCAACATGCAGCTGTATACTCCCCAAATGATGAAAATAGTTCATATATGCACACTGCTGTCACACATCTATCCAGTGCATTCCCCATAGTTCTGTCTTAGGTATCAATAGAAATCGGAACATCTTCTTAATAGGCCACTCAGAGTCAGCCAGAGAACTTTTAACCTTCAAACTTTCAATATTAGTCACTGTTCAAAATTGATGTATACTCTTTACATATGTGATCTGTTCTCATGTCCCCCCAACCAGTATAACTGTCTTCTCCTGGATTCTTTATGTCCATTGGACGTGTGGTTCCACAGGATCTCTGAGTCTAGAACATACAAGATTCTCAGGAGGTGCTAGGTGTGATTCACAGCCCCTGGTTTGACTTCAGCAGTGGCAGATTCCAAGGACAGTGTGAAATTTCTGTCTGAGTTTCTATCACCTCTGACATGAATTCTGCCACCATTAAAACAGTGATGTGTGAACTGGAAGCCTAGACATAGACTTGGCCTGTTGGGAAGGTGGCTGTTGCCTTGCAAAGAACTGGGAGGCCAATCTCTCCCCTGGGGAGCCCAAGCCTAAGGGTGGTGACAGCTGTTTTCTGCTCTAGGAGAAGCAGAAGACAGAGTTCCTGAAGACCATCCCTGAGAAGATGAAGCTGTACTCTGAGTTCCTGGACAAGCGGTCATGGTTTGCAGGGGACAAGGTAAAGAGAGGGGTGGGGAGGAGTTGCCATTCTTTCAACGTGTCACATTCCAGTGCACTGACCCTCTGTTTCCTGCAGGTCACCTATGTGGATTTCCTCGCTTATGATATCCTTGACCAGTACCGTATCTTTGAGCCCAAGTGTCTGGATCCCTTCCCAAACCTGAAGGACTTCTTGGCCCGCTTTGAGGTGAAGCCCTGATCCTGCTTCCTTTGGGTGGCCTTCCTCTCTTCCACAACACTTTTCTAACCTGAGACTAAAGAAAAGCAACTAGGATTTCTTGAACTTTCTGTAAAGACCTGTCTGGGGCAACATTTATCACTTCAGAATCCCCAAAAGTTGATGTGCATCTGAGTCCCATTAACAGATGAAGAATTTGACACCATAGAGGTACTCACTTGTTCATGGTCTCAGCATGAGTAGCGGTTGCACTGGCTCCACATCAGTCTCTGTGTCACCATTCGGTGAATCTCCTGCTTTGTGTCAAAAGAAAAAGCTACACACACAACACACAACTCACTGCCTTATTTTCCTGTTTGGGGTCCTTGGCAAGGCAGAGCATGTCAATAGCATGTGGGTCTTGGCATTAGGGAGACTGGCAGGTCTGATGTGACATACCCAGATGTGAGAAAGTCCAGGTCTTGCCTGCAGAGCATTGAGAGCCCAGGGCTATAGCTGGTGCCTCATTGAGTTGACATGTGCGTGCCCACCGTGTTGGGGACATTTATTGTGTGTGCTGCCGTGTTCTTGTTTCTTCCCTTTCATTCTCCTCTTTCATACCACGGTGCTGTCTGTGAAATGCGGTCAAATTCTTTTTCTTCACTGTTATTCTCTGTCAGTCTCCTTTAGATGAGGTTCATGCCGAGTCTTTAGAGGGCATGCAGAATGCCTCATCTTGTGACTGAGTGGGTATAGAACTGTAGCAAGCCAGACTGTGAGATGCTGTCAAGGCTGCTGAGCCCAGCCTGGACCATACCTACATCAGACTTGGGTCATTCAGACATCTGGGAATGGGAGACTTTGACCCAAGGATTTTTCAACGTGCAGTCTGCTGACCTTGTCCACGCCCAATCAAGGGATATACTTTCTCAGCTAATTCTCTCTCTCTTTCCTTGGTGCCGAGGAGTGAGCCTAGGGTCTTAGACTTGCTAGGCAAGCGCTCCACCACTGAATTAGAAATCCCACCTTTCTCAGCCGGTTCTCATGAGCTCTGGTTTTGGCCCAGGCTTGGCTTGGAAATTGTGCAATATCTGGCATGGCTCTAGAAAGGGTGTGTGGAGAAGCACAGAGCCGCTTAGCCCAGCTTGTGTGTCTCTCACGCCTTCTGCAATTGTCTGTGTACTCTTCAGCTTGGTGCATAGCTATAACACAGCACACAGTCACCTGGGGCGGTCCCTGCGTCAGGGGAGGGAACAGCCAAGGTGCAGTGAGATTGTACTGAGGACCAGGTAGAGAACTGTTAATTCTGCTCCCGGGAAACTGATTAGAATCCTGCTCAGCTTTCTTTGTGGGCTGTCATCTTGACGTTCCCTTTCTTGGCTGACTGGCTGAGTCACTGGGTGCTAGACTGTCTTCCTAAACACACACACATTCAAGTTTTTCAGCTCCTTTTGTCCTGTTAGATCCCTCCCCTGTGTGTAAATACAGGCTAGAAAGAGCCCCCATGCCCCATAGGATCATGTTCAGGTAGAGAGGCAGGGCTAGGGCCTCCTTGGGAGGGCAGAAGAGGAATAGAGAGGAGAGAGGGAGGAGGAAGGAAGAGAGGGAAAGGGAGAGGGGGAGAGAGAAGAGAGAGGAAGAGGGAGAGGAAGGAGGGCCAGAAGGGCGGGGAATGGGAGAGAGAGAGAGAGAGAGAGAGAGAGAGAGAGAGAGAGAGAGAGAGAGAGAGAGAGAGAGAGAGAGAGAGAGAGAGAGAGAGAGAGAGAGAGAGTGTGTGTGTATAAAGGAGAGTGTGCATTCAGCTGGTCTGCTCACAGCTGTGTGAGCCAGAGGAAGTTGCTTAACCTCTCTGGACCTCAGGTTCCTCCCTGATAACTGATCTTGCAGAGTTGATGGGCCATTTTCTGAACCTATAATTGTAATTTTTAGTGGACATAAGAGAGCTTACACAGGATCCAGTCTCCCCTTTAATAGGGGCTGTGAAAGAGTTCTTTTTCTTGGGCTGCCAGCTAAGCAGGCCGCACTGTGCTCCAGCCCGAGCCCAGGACAAAGGCCTCTCCTGGCATGCCCCCCCCCCCAGTATGCTGCAGACCTGAGCACCTGCTTGTCCTTCCCATTTTGCAGGGCCTGAAGAAGATCTCTGCGTACATGAAGACCAGCCGCTTCCTCCCAAGACCTATATTCTCAAAGATGGCTCACTGGGATAACAAGTAGATCCCTGCTCCCCTGGCTCTCACATGGAGGACCTGTGCACACTGGATCCTCCTGGGGACAGCTGATCTTCTGCACTGCCGCCTCATGGCTCTGGCTCCTTTCTCCTTCCTGCTCCCTTCTCCACAAGGCTTTCAAGCCCCTTGGCTCCTCAAGCCCATGTAGTCTCCATCTCCCCACTTCCTTTCACCAAGGTCCTTCTTCACTCCTGTCCTAACCCAAGCGCACAGTCCTTTTCCATGATTTGATGTCTGCCCTGAACTCTACTCCCCAGAATTACCCTAAAGGTCAATACTGCCTCCAGTTCCAACTCTTCATCAGTGGAGGGGCTGCCCCAGGCCTCTCTCATCTCCAATAAAACTTGAAACACACTTGCTCTGTGCTGTGTCTTTTTCTTTTTTCTATTTCGACTTGCCAGAAGTCACAGCTGCTTCCAAGAGTCTGAGCTCTGTGCCTGTAGTGCCAGGCTCTGAAGAGTCTCATGAAACCAGAAAAAATTTGAAACACCTTGCTTTTTTTTTTTTTTTTTTTTTTGGTTTTTCAAGACAGGGTTTCTCTGTATTGTTTTGGAGGCTGTCCTGGAACTAGCTCTGTAGACCAGGCTGGCCTCGAACTCACAGAGATCCGCCTGCCTCTGCCTCCCGAGTGCTGGGATTAAAGGCGTGCGCCACCAACGCCTGGCTGAAACACCTTGCTTTTAATCTGAGACTCTCATGGGGGGTTGGGGGAAGGGGAGAGGTATCATGTACATTAAATTCAGCTTGTAAAAGTGTTCATGTGTTGTTATAGGACATTTTTATGTATTGAATTACTACAGTTTAGGCCAAAGACAACAGGTTAACTGTAAAGATTTTGTTGCGTTTTTTTAAAGAGTATTTTAAAATTCTGGTTATTTTGGCGATCTTAGACTCAGCTGTAAGATTTCTTTCCCTTTAGCTCTAACATTTCCTTTTTTTTTTTTTTTTTTTTTTTTTTTTTGGTTTTTCGAGAGAGGGTTTCCCTGTGTCTTTGGAGGCTGTCCTGGAACTCGCTCGGTAAACCAGCCTGGTCTCGAACTCACAGTGATCCGCCTGCCTCTGCCTCCCAAGTGCTGGGATTAAAGGCGTGCACCACCAACGCCCGGCCTAGCTCTAACATTTCAACACAACACTTTCCTCATTAGGATTTCGGGGCTCATTTTGGGGAGTATAGGATAGGGATGTTCTTGGCTGCTCTGGATCCAAATATGGACATTGGTAAAAGGTTTGGATTGGTCCCTTTTGGGTTTCTTTCCAAGAAAAGGTGCTGCATGGCCTTACTTCAGGTGATCCCGTGGCCCTCGTGGAAAGACATGTTTATGGTAGTTAAGTATTATTTGAATTTTTGGGCCTGGAATCTGGAAGACATCAGTTGTAAAGGAACAAGAACTGAAGACAGACACAAAATTAAAACAGTAAGAAAAAGGCTACAGAGCCTGTTGGTATATGAGCAGCAGTTAGTTTCTGGGACTGGAAAGTCTCACAAACTTACTGAGTAGAGTATGATGTCTCAGTAACAAGTTGTTGAATTCTTGAAGAGGCATATCTGGCTAGTCATTCAGGAGCCAGGCAGTGGTCAAGCAAGAATTTGCCAGCCAGGCACAGGTGAGAGTGGTCACAATGTTGTCAATACATCTCTCATGAGAATGCTGTTATTAATAGTGGGAACTCTGGATCATGGTCCACAGATTTATTTTGCTGTAGTCATTCTTTGGCATCCTGTTTGTAGAGCAAGTGTAAATCCTCAATTGGTTTACTGTTTCAAGAAGGATCTCTTACTTTTACTTTGGGTGCCTTTTGAAAATAGGGTTTAAACTTGAACAAGTGAACCCAGTTAGTAATCTCTATTTTCAGTTAGTAATCTTCATTTTTCCCTTTAATTGAAAACAGATATTTTTCTCATACAATATATCCTGATCACAGTTTCTTCTCCCTCTACTCCTCCCAGGTCCTCCCCTCTGACCCTCCCCTCTGGATCCACTCCTTTTTTGTCTCTCGTTAGAAAAAAACCAGTCTTCTAAAAGATAACAACCAAACATGACAAAATAAAACATAATAAGATGAAGCAAAATCCATCACATTGAAGTTGGACACAGCAAACCAATAGGAGGAAGACCCTCAATAGCAGACACAAGAATCAGAGACGCATACTCTTATACCCATACTCACATCCTCTGATACCCATACTCACATCCTCTGATACCCATACTCACATACTCTGATACCCATACTCACATACTCTCATACCCATACTCACATACTCTCATACTGATACTCACCACTAAAACCAAAAGCTATAATATGTATGCAGAGGACCATGGAGACCCTGTACTTGCTACAGAGGGCCTTGTTCTTCTGGTGTCCTCCTCTCCTTCTGGGTCTTACACTCTTTAAGCCTCCTCTTCTGTGTGGTTTCCTTAGCTCTGAGGTGAGAGATTTGATGGAGACATTCCATATAGAGCTGTGTGTTCTAAGGACCCTCTCTCTAGGTAATGTCTGTCTTTGGGTCTCTGCATCTTTTCCAGTCTGCTGCAGGAGGCAGCTTCTCTGATGATGACTAAATAAGGCACCGCTTTATAGGTATAATAGAATATCATTAGGAGTCATTTTGTTGAAACTTTCTTTTAGACCAATAATGTTTGCTTTTACCCTAGGTCTCTGAGCTATCTAGTTTCTGGTTCTTGGTCACCCTAGGAGTGTTGGCTATAGGTTCTGTCTTGTGGAGTGGACCTTAAGTCAAATCAGACATCTATTGGCTACTCCTACAGGCTCTGTGCCACCATTGCTCTCGAATATCTGCAGAAAGACAGATTGTAGGTCAAAGGGTTTTTGGCTGGGTGGGTGTTTATGTTTCTCCTTTGGTAGCCTTCAGAGTATCTTCCCACACCAAAGACTCTAGTGCGCAGGCGTGAAGACTGCATGTAGGCACCAGCTTGACTTCTTCATGTTCAATGACTTGTGTGGGTCTTGTCCTTGGCAATGGAGCCCTGCTATTGGTTTGCAGAGAGCAGCCCACTGTCTTAACAAAAGCCTGGGTTGTTTGGGGATTTCCATGGGACTCCCTTGGCCAATAACTCAAATGAATGCATCCAAGTCTTGGTACTGGAAGCCTCATTTGTTGACAAGAGAGGGCCAGTTGGGACTCCATTTCCCCCATTCTTAGAAGACCTCATAGGGTTGCCTTTATGTGTTTTAGGAAGTTTCCACTGCACTAGGTTTACAAGTCATCATTCAAATGTCCTTTAATTTCAAGCATCTCTCCCCATGTTCCCTCCCTCAACTCCATCTCCCTTCCCCACCTGATCCTCCTCTTCCTGCCCCCATTCCACCCATGAAATCTATTGTATCTCCCTCTACCCTTTCACCCAATCCCTGCCCCTGTACCTAACCTCTCTGGGTCTATGAATTGTAGGTTGGTTATCACTTATTTAAAGGCTAATATCTACACATCAGTGAATACATGTCATATTTATCTTTCTGGGTCTGGATTACCTCACTTGGGTTGATTTTTTTCTAGTTCCATCCATTTGCCCCCAAATTTCATAATGCCAAAAAAAAAAAAAAACCACTGAGTAATACTCCAATATGTAAATGTACCACTTTATCTGTTCTTCAGTTTAGGGGCATATAGGTTGTTTATAGTTCCTAGATATTATGAATAAGGCCATAGTGAACACAGTCTAGCGAGTGTCTTTGTGGTAGAATGAAGTGTCTTTTGGGTATATGCCCAGGAGTTGTATAACTGGATGGTGAGGTAAATCAATTCCTAACTGTCTGAGGAATTACCATATTCATTTCCATAGTGGCTGTACGAGTTTGCATTCCCACCAGAAATGGAAGAGTGTTCCCCTTAGTTCACATACTTTCAGCATGAGCTGTTAGTTATGTTATTAATTTTGGCATTCTGACAGGTGTAAGATGGAATCTTAGAGTAGTTTTGATTTGCACTTCCCAGATGGCTAAGGAGGTTGAACAGTTTTTTAAAATTAATTTTTACTTAAATTAAAAACAATCTTATTTTACATACCAATCTCAGTTCCTTCTCCCTCCTGTCTTCCTATTGCCCCATCCCATCCCCCATCCATTGCCCAGGGAGGGTAAGGCCTCCCATGGGGGATCATCAAATTCTGTCACATCATTTGGGGCAGGTCCTAGGTCCTCTCCCATGTATCTATGATTAGAGAGTATCCCTCCCTAGAGAATGGGCTCCCAAGCCCATTCATGCACTAGGGATAAATACTGGTTCCACGGCCAAAGGCCCAGTAGACTGCCCAGTTCCTCCCAACTGGCACCCAATTCAGGGGGCCTGGTTCAGCCCTATGCTGGTTCCCCAGCTGTCAGACTGGAGTCCATGAGCTCCACTTGCTCAGATCAGCTTGCTGAACAGTTCTTTAAGTGTTTCTCAGGCCAGCCGGGGGTTGGTGGCACACACCTTTAATCCCAGCACTGGGGAGGCAGAGACCGGTGAATCTCTGTGAGTTTGAGGCCAGCCTCATCTACAGAGGGAGTTCCAGGACAGCCTCCAAAACAATACCCTGTCTCGGGAAAAAACAAAAACAAAAACAAAAAAGTGTTTCTCAGCCATTTGAGTTTCTCTAGTGAGAATTCTGTTTAGATCTGTGCCCCAATTTTTAACTGGATTATTTGGGTTTTTTGGTATCTAGTTTCTTGAGTTCTTTATATATTTTGAAAGTTCATTGCTTTGGTTATAGCTTCTTGTATGTTTAAGGCCAAGCTGGGGTCTGCAAGACTAACCTTTAAAAATTGTTTTTAGGTAAGCTGAGACTGTTTCAGGGTCTTAAGAGGAGCCCCTGGTCCCTTTAGTATTTCTTTTACTACCATGTCATTGGCAAGGATGGGTCAGGGTCCTGCTTAGCATGTGGCTTCCTTTAAAAACAAAGGAAACATGTTCACTCCACTGCATCTCCTTCTTGTGGGTTGTGCATTAGTGCAAATCTGATCTCTAGATTCTCCATGGCCTCTCTGATAGAGGACTGGTGACTTATCAGATGGACCTGATCACTTTCTGGGTCCTGGCTGACCTTTGACCCTTGCTGTCTTTATTAACCCCCTTTCCTCACTGGTGTCTGCCTCCCAGCATTTTTGTTGAACGAACAGAAGGACCGTGTTACCAGTCTTGTATTACCTTTCCTGTAACGTTTTGGTCAGGCTCAGACAAAACTCCAGTTTTAGACAAGTTTTGGTTTTGCTAAGACCCACTTTCTTGAGTAGGAATTTTGATGAAAGATTAAGCCAGTTCTTGTAAATGTTACTGTTTGCGGATCAGTAACCTAGGAGAATTCCCTTGACCTAAAAGAATTATTTTTTTATTATATTTTATTTTTCATTCATTT